ATTCTAGAAATAACGAAATCGTCTACTTCAGAGGTATTTTCCGTCAAAGAAAAGCCTCACGCGACTCAGAATGACATAACCGAGTTATGTCATACACTCACGCGTTATCTTAATCTTCGTAACGACCGTAGTCGCTCACGCAGTCCACGTAGAAGCATTTCGCGTAAACGATCTGTCTCTAGACCACGAGAGACGGATAACCCTGACTGGTGCTGGTATCATAACCAGTATGGGAAATCTTCCAGAAATTGCAGAAAACCCTGCAATTTTCCCAACACGAAAACGACTGACTCGAAAAACAATTCGGGAAACTTACAAGCCGGCACGCGTTAACGGCAACCGTAGCCGGCGAACATAGCCGTCTGTTGTACGTCACAGATGTGACAACGAGAGTTCGCTACCTCGTCGACACTGGCGCAGAAGTTAGCGTTCTCCCAGCAAATCATAACGACCGGCTCCACGAATCAACTCTAAACTTACAGGCGGCAAATGGAAAACCAATCGCCACGTATGGCAAAAGGTACGTCTACCTTAACGTGGGTTTACGCAAACCCATCCATTGGATTTTCGTTGTTGCAGATGTTTCTATGCCAATCATTGGTATGGATCTTCTACAACATCATAATCTAATCATCGACACGCGCAAACGGAGGCTAGTAGATGGAAACACTAAATTATCCGTTTGCGTAACTTCTTTTTCTGGTTGTAGATTATCCCCAGTCACAGTTAAGCATTCGATAGACCCACTCTATCAACCACTACTCGACAAGTACCCTGGGATACAACAAGCTCAAACGAAACTACCGTGTGTAACCAGCAATGTTACACATCACATCACAACTACAGGACCACCTGTATTCTCTAAAGCACGACGACTAGCTCCGGAAAAGCTGAGGTTAGCGAAAAACGAATTCGATCATATGATAGACTTAGGAATCATACGACCGTCAAACAGCCCTTATGCATCTCCGTTGCACATGGTCCCTAAAAAGGACAGCAACGATTGGCGTCCGACTGGTGACTATCGGCGATTGAATGCAAAAACCATTCCCGATCGTTACCCGTTGCCACACATTCACGATTTGACAGCTACCTTGAAAGGTACAACTGTCTTTTCGAAAATCGACTTGGTTAAAGCGTATAACCAAATCCCTATGGCTACAAACGACATACCAAAAACAGCTATCATAACTCCTTTCGGACTCTATGAATTTTTGCGAATGCCGTTCGGTCTAAGAAACGCTGCGCAAACTTTCCAAAGATTCATAGACGACGTCTTTCGAGGCCTCAACTTCGTACATGCGTATGTTGATGACTGCTTAATCGCAAGTCCGGACAGAGAATCACATCTCAAGCATCTGGATCTTGTTTTCGAACGATTACAAAAACATGGCATTACTGTAAACGTTCAGAAATGCCAATTCGGAACCGACTCGTTAGATTTCCTAGGACACACTATCGATGCTCAAGGCATTCGACCCCTTAGGACCAAAGTGGCGGCCATTCTGGATTACCCAGAACCGACCAACGTCAAGCAACTACGCACGTTTAACGGCCTGGTAAGTTTCTATAGACGCTTCATACCGAAATGCGCATTACTTATGAAACCTCTTACTGACCAACTGCGTGGAAATGCGAAATCCATTAATTTGGACGACACCGCACGAAAAGCATTCTCCACAGTTAAGGAACTGATCGCTAAAGCAACAATGCTCGCACATCAGGACACTGAAGCACCCATTAGTATCGCAGTAGACGCATCCGACTCGGCAATCGGAGGAGTCTTACAACAATGGATTAACAACTCCTGGCAACCCTTGGCATTTTTTTCTAGACGGTTGCTAGACACCGAATCGAGATACAGCACATTCGGTAGGGAACTCCTAGCTATGTATTGTGCTGTACGGCATTTTCAACACTATATCGAAGGCCGCGAATTCACTCTATTCACTGACCATAAACCGCTCACTTTCTCGTTAAGCTCTCCTTCTGACAAGTACTCTCCCCGTGAGTCTCGACAACTGGACTACATTTCGCAGTTTACTTCAGATATTCAACATATTTCTGGAGCAAACAATGTAGTTGCAGACGCCTTGTCTCGAATAAACTCCTTGAACAGTTTCCAAGGAATCGACCTTCTTAAACTCGCCCAGCTTCAAAAAGAAGACACTGATCTTCAGCAAGAGTTATCGTCCACAACCCTTAAACTACGCATCAAACAGATGGGAACAGGTAAGGAAACCTTACTTTGTGACACATCTACAGGTAGAGATCGCCCAATCGTTCCGAAACATTATCGACGCAATGTCTTCAACACATTGCACAAACTTTCTCATCCAGGTGTTCGTGCAACCATCAAGCTCATAGCAGAACGCTTTTGCTGGCCTGGTATGAATAAAGACGTGAGGGAGTGGGCACGCTCCTGTGTAAGCTGCCAAAAATCTAAGGTCATCAGACACAATAAATGTCCCTTAGGCTCATTTAAAACTCCCGATGCTCGTTTCGACCATGTTCATCTGGATTTGGTAGGACCTTTACCAGATTCAAATGGATACTCTTACCTCTTGACCTGTGTAGATCGTTTCACTCGATGGCCAGAAGCAGTACCTATCAAGGACATCACTGCTGAAACAGTGGCCCGAACCTTCGTCGAACGATGGGTAGCAAACTTCGGTTGCCCTTCAACCATCACCACAGACCGCGGACGTCAGTTTGAGTCTGAACTTTTCCGTCGTCTGACCACACTATTAGGAAGCACTCGCTTCCGAACGACCGCCTACCACCCACAAGCAAACGGGTTGGTAGAACGCTTTCACCGACAACTAAAAGCTTCACTATCAGCTGCAAACGTTTCACAGTGGACCGACGCTCTTCCACTCGTCTTACTAGGTATCCGCAATGCAGTGAAAGCTGACATTGGATACACTGCGGCTCAACTCGTTTATGGAACGACACTTCGACTTCCAGGAGAATTCGTGGATCCTTCATCCTCTTCAATGAGCATGGATCTAACCTCCTACACGAACAGGCTTACAAACGCAATGCGTTCAGTTAAACCTGCTTCCACTCGACCTCAATCAACTGATGTTTTCATTCAACCTGAGTTACGATATAGTACACACGTTTTCGTTCGTCGAGACTCGCATCGACGACCTTTCGAATCAGCATACGAAGGACCTTTCAAAGTTCTTCAACGCGAACCGAAGTACTATATAATCGATAAGAACGGAACCAACGATAGCATCAGCATCGATCGCCTCAAAGCAGCGTATTTAGAAGGAAATCCTATCTACGTGGATTTTCCTTCGGTACAATTGAACGACACGACTCCGATACTTATAATACCTCATCCGACAACCAACACACACGATGATACTTCGACAGTATCCGAAAATAAACTTAAAACGACACGTTCTGGAAGAAGAGTAAGATTTCCAGAACATTTAAATGACTATTGCACGTAAGGCACTTCTCGACATTTTCTATATTATTAAAAAATAATTTTTTTTTTAAATAGGCTTATATATTTTCATTTCTATTTAAAAAAACAAACAAAAAAAACGATTTTGCGAGTTTATTTTCCTTTTTTTACGCACATACGAGTGTATTTTCGACATGCACTTACATTCTCTTTCTTCTTTTTCAGGACGGCTGGAAAAGAACGATGACGTTTATGAGGATACGAAACTTTCATTGTACATTTCTTTTTTTACTATGTTGTACCCCGGTCCCATATAGTAAGGAAAGACGACCAGACGCTGCTAAATTTAGTAAGCTATCAGAAGAGTGTTTACCAACGACAAACGCGTTGGGTTTAAACTTCTGGCTGGCCACGTCTTAGGGTCATCACTGCCCCACTAGGGGGGGAGTGATCTGTAGCGGTAAATAAATCCCCAAACTAAATAGCTCAATAGGTTTTCGACATTGGATGCTGACCATATGTTTTAGTGGACTCATCTAGCTGAAGGCGCTCGGTCATGCATCCGCACCAGATCACGTGCTGTCACGCTGTGCTCAACAACAATCGCAATCACTAGCCAGATTAGATCAGAGATTCCCGATATATTGGTTATTGCCAAATACACTCTTCCGATCTCCTCGACTCTGTCTTTTGATTTCTCTCGGTGGGAACAAAGCATATTAGAAGGTGTTATTGGTAGAAGCGTTGTCAAACACTGAATACCTGTATCATCCTCACTACGTTGTATCAATGTACAGTGGGTGCTTTGAACACCGTATGACACAAAGGACGTTATTGAAGAAGTGCATTGGTAGAAGTAGGTACAAGGGAGATGTTGTGATCACTGCGGCACAGGTCAGTCCATGGCACACAACTAACTGATACTCATTGATGTCCTCGACGTGGAAGATTTGGATAGGACTCGTTGATATTTCACCAAACTGCACATCTGTTAGACTGAAAATGAATAGCTAAGCCTCCATGAAGATTAGGGAATTCCGATGGGTTTTTGATATATCGTGTTAGATCATATTCTGTTTGTCACATCTTAAACTGTTACATGGTTGTATCAAATACCGATGTGTCTATCTTTAATTTTCTTTTACGACATTACCCCCGGTTACCAAACTTCCTTAATTTATCTTACTCCTCAACTAAACTGACATTTTATGCAAAGTGACACAAGAGGGATCTGTAGAAGATATTAATGATTAAGTGTTTCCATGACTGGCCTCGTAATCCTGACTTCATCTCTTCGGATTAATTTGCTGAATGAAATATATATGCAAGAGCATGCACTTTGGCTTAGATTATATTCGAATGAGGCTTTAATTTTCGTTGCTTTTTTACCACAGAAAACTAAAATGCGTTACAGTAGCTATTCACAAAAAACATATGCAGTTCGTTCCGAAAAATTGAAATGAATACTGTAGGAGAAATATAACTTTGAATGCATTGGTGACATTCTACTTGAACTAAAAATGCTTAGATCTGTAAGATATTTTAATTAACTGATATGTAGATAAATAACTGTAGACCGTGTTAATTTTGATTGCTGCGGTACAACTGTTACATTGACAATTTGTGTTGTGTTTGGTTTCGGTGGTAAGCAGTTATGTTCCACTTTGATGTCGTCCTAGAGACACGTATTTCGAAATCGACAGTCTAATCTCTGCATAAATATACCCTATATAGTCTACTTCGCGCTTATATAAGCGGGAAGTAATACATATGTATATATCACTGACATTTAAGTACCAGTCGTGGGCACACGACAATGGTTCTGGCGTAAGTGACAAATATGATAGTCTTCGATCGATATTTGGCGAGGAATATAAGCTCTAACTTGGTAGTTTTACGCTTTTATTGGACTTATCTGGTGCACCAGATAATCATGATTAAGAACTTCTGTTCTAAATGAAATACTTGCTCTTATCAACATTTAACATGCCTGTAGGCATGTGTCGATTGTCACAAAGTAGCAGATTCAAATGGAATATTCGAATGACAGTATGAGAAATTCTTCGAAAACAGCCGGGGAAGCCACATATCCCCATTATCAGTGACGGGTATAAGTTTGTTCAGTGAATCTTCAAAGTGAAACTATGTTTATCTAGGTATTCTTCTAAAAATTTCCTCTAAAAATGTGGCAGCATACAGTGAGACTTGGCGGTCGTTGTTAAATTGATCCTTGCATCTAGGAAACGGAAAGAATAAGTTTTTAGTGTAGACTATCAATGATATTGTCTTTCTCTTGATAGCAGTTACGCAGCCTAACTTTTATGCGACAAAAACCTTGTGTTTCTAATAAACTTATGTCTTGTTGAAGATATGTGTTCACCACGCCCAGTTTCCCTTCAGTAGTGCTTTCCTCATTAAATTTTTCGGGATTGTTTGTGATTACCTTATTAAATAAAGATAATAACTTACTAACAAAACAATTTGTCGTTTTTAAAAATGACTTGTGCTTGAAACTTATTAAAGTAGTGGTGAACCATCGATTAAATAGTCGACCGCTTCCCATCCGGATCGACGTCTGTGTTCGTTAGTTCAATTTCCACTGAGTTATTTGGCTTCATTCATAATATCTACCAACAACCCGGCTGTCTGCTACAGCAACCACTTGTTTATTATTCAAAACAATTATAACACACTTTTCTAGTTACAAGCTCAAGAAGTTTAAAAATGGGTTGTTTCTTAATCTCAAAGTTCTAGTGTATTTATGAGAAAATGCAAAATTAACATACAAAAACATACGTAAGAGAGAATCAATCATCTCGTTATTTGTGTGGCTTACAAAAATTTGCTGACAGTGCAGATGGTAATAGAAAGGAATGGTTGTGGAAGATACGCCTCGGAAACTAAATGTAGATCAGCAAAACAAAAAAAATGTAATATAATTCAGAAACTTATGATCTAAGGGAATATAGACAGTAAATTTACCCAGTTTCTAACTACTAATTACTATATTCACACGAACCTTAACTAGGTGATCTGTACCTACCTACATAACTCAATTCAGCAGTTATTGTCTTCACGTATTGATGCCATGTCATGATTCGATCTCTCCTAACTTTGTCCCAAGGTACTCCAATAACCATGAACGTCGTGATTCTTAAAGAGAAACATCATCCAAGATTCGATATTTTGCTTAAAACTTGGATAGTTTGTTTAACACAATACGATAGACTTAATTATAGGTGTCATACGCTTGTTCATATTTTCAGGTCTTTTGTGGGATAAAGCCAGCCAAAACAATTTTTTGCTGCACCTTAATTATGCCCATATGAATAGTGTTTCAAGGAAAAACGTACACCATACTAGTAAGAAATAATTCAAAGTTAGGGTTCCCATGATAATGAATAGTTTGACTGCGAATAAATAAATCCCAACCTCTACTAACAGATGACGAAAAAAGACGAAGTGAATGGAGACGCTGCGAACAAAAGGAACATTATTGTAGGAGAGTACAACACTCTCAACTTCTCCTTTCTCTTCGACTAAATTCCCTTTTTCTACTACTTCCCTTTGGCACTTTGGGGTGACAATGGTATACATGCAACACTAGTGTCAGAAGAGCATTATGTGTTCACTGGATTAAGTCGACAACCGATTACTTTAGCTGTTCGTTATACGTACAACAACTCATATAAGAAGCGTTTTGTAATGTAGTATCTAGTTCTCCCATATTAATTCTCTTTCGTCTTTTTTAGGCTGTCTGAAGATTATAGATAAGTACTTCTGTTTTCCAAACAATATCAGTTGGTTTGAGAATTACTTCTTAGAAACAATTTACAATTACCACTTCTTAACTTGCCTACTAATGATCCAGAGTTCCTGTTAGTGGAATATATGTTGGGATCCGCTTTGTGGGTTAGTAGGGGTTCTTGAAACAAACGCACTGAAATGCAGGGTGATCGTATCAGGCTGGAATAAACCTACGTATCACAGCACCGGGTTAGCTAATAATGACTTTATCGTACATTGTTTAAAGTAGAAGCCTGTGGAGGTCCTATTTTCTTGTGCAAACACTAAAAGCCTTTATGCTGATGACGACTGTGAGAGCAATTTCAACTTCGCATGCAGCTTGTTTTTGGTTTACATACAGTGAACTTTGTATGTACCAAAGGATACAAAAGGAAAATACTCTCCCGAATATTAGTACTCTTTAAATAACATCTTCAAACCTAATCTTTCCGATTACTGCTTAAACTCTTACTGCCTCTACCACTACGGGATTTGAATCGACAACTGCATCTCTGTGCTAATATGGTGTGGCAACTCGAACTGATGTACGTACATACGAAGTTCTACGTTGTTACTGACTGAGCACTTACCATTGCTTTTATTGTTTATTTATTTTCAGAACATTCACAATGGTAATTTTTCGCTATTACAAATGCCTTAAGTACTTCAGTCTGAGCTCCGCGTCGCTGAAATATCTGAAGATACTGCAGATAACCTAAAAAAATTCAAATTTCGAAAATCCCAGAACACTGTTGCCCTCATATGTTGTCCCTTGTTTATTAAGTGTTAATCAGTATCATGTTGTAGTGAAAATTGAAAAAGAAGCTTTGACAATCGAACCAGAACAAATACTTGAAGTCAGTTTATTTTATATGCTCAAAGAATTTCCCAATTTAGGATATTACACTTAACAATCTCAAAGATTCTTTACCGTACCATCAACCAAGATATATTCTTTTAAGTTACCGTTATGAAAAGGAGGATGGTCGGGTAACATTTCCATACTGTCTATTATTTTCAACTCCAATGGGTATGTGGTTGTATCGAATTGGGTATTTTAATTTATTATGGGTAGGAAACTAAATTGTTTTCTACAGAATCAGAAATGCGACTTGTGTCAAAGCATCATTCTAATTACTTCATTGCCTACTTTACTAACTTTTCAAAGAATAACTAAGATGTATCTATCTCTCGGTCCTGGGGGTCTGGACATGTAGTCCAGCATTACACTGGGGTAAGGGGGAGCAGAGTTCATAACACATGTCCTGAATACTACATTCGTTCAGAATTAATCACTTTCACCTTGTACATCGTACTTGCAGAAATCTTGGGATAGTGTTCTTAGTCTTGTCGAGTTGCAATCGTGCCGATAGGATTCAAGAAGCACCTGTTTTACTACATCCACACATGGGATCCCTAGAAATATTTGCTTTAAATTTTTGTGGCTGTCTCATTATTATGGGCTTTAGAGATCAGCGATGCTAAAAGATAGGTCACTTAAAAGGACCACAACCTGTTTCTGGCTAGCACTAACTTTCGGCACAGTCATCGCCGATGTGCCACCTGGCGTCCTCCCTCTGCATCCCAAGCCTGGACTCAGATTGATCACATCGCGATCAGCTTCCGCTGGCGTGGTTGTGTAAAAGACTGCCGCTCCTTTTGGAGTACCTATCTGGACTCTGACCATGCCTTGGTCTGCGCCAATCTTGCCTTACTTTTCAGTGGACAACGAAGTGACCGCCACCAACGGATTGATGTTAGCAAGCTGGTTGCAACTTCTGTTGCAAATAAGTATCGAACCGAGTTAGCCTCTAGGCTAGCTACCACTCCACCGAAAAGTATAGATGAGCATTGGTTGCAATTGCTTGACGCCATGAAAATGGCGGGAACAGTCAGTTGTGGGTTTGCGAAACGTCCCGCTTTTAAGCACTGGGTTTCTTCTGGTTCCTTACAACTCATTGAAGCCCGTCGGTCTACTCCGGGTGACCGTGAGTTTGACCATAAACGAAGGATGTTACGTAGGGAAATTGGGCAAAGCTTGCGTAAGGACCGAGAAGCCTGGTGGTCGGAGCGTGCTAATGAGCTGGAAGCAGCAGCTGCATCTGGTAACTACCGGAAGCTCTTCCAGCTCATCCGAGCCACTGGCAGCAAGAAGTCTGGTGTGAGTGAAACAATCTGCGAGGATGATGGGATGCCAATCACTAACATCCATCGACGTCTTGGACGATGGGCAGAATTTTTCGAAGGGCGGTTCAACTGGCCTGCTGCTCCGGCAACATCGGTCAGGCTGTCCTGCCCTCCATGGCCGGTGACGACTGATCCACCAAACGAGGAGGAAGTCCGCAAGGAACTCCAACTCTTGAAGCGTTACAAATCACCTGGCCCAGATGACTTACCTCCGGCTCTTTTTAAAGATGGTGGTGACTTTTTGACTAAGGAATTGACGACGTTGTTTACAAAGGTTTGGGAACTAGAGTGTGTACCAACGTCATGGAATGAGTCGATAGTTGTCCCTATCTTTAAAAAGGGTTCACGTCGTTCCTGTAACAACTATCGGGGGATAAGTCTACTTCCGATTGCGTCCAAGCTATTGGCTTCCGTCATACTTCGTAGGTTGTTCAAAACTCGGGAAAGATTGACTCGCGAGGAGCAGGCTGGGTTTCGTTCTGGTCGAGGATGTATTGATCATATCTTCACCCTCCGCCAAATGTTAGAACATCGCCATACTTATCAAAGGCCAACAATCGTAGTGTTTCTTGACATCAGGGCTGCCTTCGATTCGTTGGACAGGACTGTTCTCTGGGATTGTCTATTGAAGAAGGGTGTGCCTGAGAAGTTTATTAACATCCTAAAAGCCCTATATAAAAACACCTCAGGCAGAGTGAAAGCATACAACCACCTCTCTCCATTGTTCCATTCAAACAGTAGGGTTAGGCAGGGTTGCCCAATCTCACCATTCCTCTTCAACTTTGCCATCGATGACATTCTGGAAACAGCTCTGATGAATGTAAGTAATGGTGGTGTGGATCTGTTGCCTGGAGAAAGACTTCTCGACCTTGAGTATGCGGACGATATTGTCTTACTGTGCGATAATGCCCAAGGCATGCAATCCGCACTTAATCAGTTGGCAATCAGTGTCCGAAGGTATGGTATGTGTTTTGCACCTTCGAAGTGCAAAGTACTTCTACAAGACTGGCAGGATTCCAATCCTGTACTCACCCTGGATGGTGATCAGATAGAAGTAGTCGAGAAGTTCGTGTATCTGGGTAGTTGCATAAGTGCTGGTGGGGGTGTGAGTGATGAGATGAATGCACGTATAGTGAAAGCCAGAATGGCTTATGCCAATCTGGGCCATCTTTGGCGCCTTCGTGATGTTAGTCTGGCTGTAAAAGGTCGGATCTACAACGCGTCGGTGAGAGCAGTTTTGCTCTATGCTTGTGAAACCTGGCCTCTCCGAGTTGAGGACGTTAGACGACTCTCTGTGTTCGATCATCGCTGTCTCCGAAGGATTGCTGATATTCAGTGGCAACACCATGTCAGTAATGCAGAGGTTCGGCATCATGTGTTTGGGCACAGAGATGATAATTCAATTGGTGTCACCATCTTGAAACACCGACTTCGGTGGCTTGGACATGTTCTACGAATGTCGTCCCAGAGAATTCCACGTCGTGCATTATTTGCCGACTCTAGGACTGGTTGGAAAAAGCGGAGAGGTGGTCAGTGCATGACATGGTGTCGTGGTATGAAAGAAAGCTGCAAAGGACTGGCTTGTGTTGGTCCTTCACGACTCCCTGGTTGGGGTCTGAGAGATGGTGCTACACAGTGGCTAGAAACGTTATCAGATATGGCTCAGAATAGAAGCCAGTGGCGATCCTGCTGTAACCTTCTTTTACTTTCTTCATAAAAAGTGGTTGTGTCTCCCTTACTTGAAAGATTTCTTCTGATTGTACTTTTCCGTTCCATTGTTACGACCACACTAAATTACACCAATCTCTTCGTTATCGTTCTCTTTTGTGCTCCTTGGTTTTTTTTTTCTATCTCTTCGAAGTTACATTGTTTTGTGTGGCGCATATATATTGGCGCTCTCTTGTACCAATATTTATGTGTTAAAATAAATAAATATATATATATCCATTTGGATAGATTATTGGTTTAAGCCTACACATTATTAAAAACTATTTCTAGGTTCTGCTACAAACCTGAAGATGATGTATACCACAAGTCTTACAAATCTGATGCATAAAAGCGGAGTTACGAAGGTAAGTATTGAGGTTCAGCATAGTATATATAACCTCGTAGGTTTTTGAGCTCAGAGATCTGGAAGAACTTTCGGATGAATGGTTACAAGAAAACCTGGATCGCACAACTTGAGTTAATAAATTGACCTTCATTGGTTGCTCAGATCCAATTTTGTTAATTTTTTTACATAAATTGAAATCCATGTTATATTTTATTCTCTTTTATCATGACGCGAAATATAGAAATAGATTAGAAGTAAAAGTACACGCTGTAACAGAAACCTATTTATTTGGTAAGAATATTTCAGTTAACAGGCTTCGTTAATTACTTCGCAAAACGTTTCTGCTCGATGCCAAAAACTCCAGTGTACGAAATCGGTCGTTAAGTAGTTATCATGCATGATGTGCTTACTCCTATACATTCCCCAAGTCAGGTTTCATAAGTAGTAGTCCCGAATGCTCTCCGTAATTTGCTACTTAGGATTTAATATATGCAAAACAGAGATTTAAAGTCTTTTTTCAAATAGTATTTAGTTCATTTCATGCTGAAATATGTATATTTCTGTGTAACATTTTGACGTAATGTTATCATTCAAGTAGTGAGTTTTGTTTGCTTAAAACAAGACTTTCGTCGCATAAATTTAATTTTTTACATAGATATCTACGCACAAATAACCAATTTCAGCGAAACTATAAGTCTGCTTTAACACATTTCGTCTTTGTTGCTCTCTATTTTTATCACTTACAATTAAGGCTTCAACGAAAACGTAAATAACTTTACATTCTATCCTCAAGCTTGAAACTAAAATAGGAGCCTTTCGTCAAGTCTGGTTCGTAAGAAATGAAGTCAGCTTACGGTTACTTGACAAACAGACAAAATACAGGCTTAAAAGTGAGAAAACTGTAGTTTATCCAAGAAGAGTCAGTGGTTAACAAGGTAACACATATATACGTGATACTATACTAAGCTGAATAAATAGTTTGTAAGGGACGTTTTAACACTTTGCGGAGACGAACTTTACAATTTGTTTTTTATTTTAACACACAGATATTGGTACAAGGAGGCACCGAATACATATGCGCCACACATATCTCATTTGATATGTGTGAGGGCTGTGATACTGCCCGGGTGCCCAAACCAAAGCAGGTGGTTTTCTTACTGGCCACACCCGGAGCCTTCGACCTGACGGTCTGATCCACAAAGCAGTGGAGCAACGTAAGGAGATGCAATCCCATGGTAGCCGGTGACCAACAATTGGTTCATACGCCATTTATTCCTTCAGGATACTGGAGCCCATGTGTACCATTGGTTTGGAATCAGGGTTTTCCAACTCCCATAGGTGGACTCACCGTGTCCACCAACCCGGTTAAAGCGCCGGACATTCGCTTTTTGTCCTCTCAATTTCGTAAACAACACCCCCGCCACGAGAAGGCAGTGAGTAGGACTTCCCTGGCAGAGGCTATATACGCGTGACCGTGTGAGAGCATTTCGAGAGGTAGAGCGGACTCTCCTCACTCCCGGCTGTACCAGGGCATCCGGGGGCCAGTTATACAAACACCTAAGTAAAATGAGCAGTTAGTTGTGAACCCGCTAATAAAGAAAAATCCAGCGAGAAATAAATGTAACCTTAATACACCAAGAAACTCATACCAAAACTTACTGAATTTCATACATCAACTAGGTAGTAACTCAGTTGTCAGGCAGAGGCATTTAAAGGCGGGAGATGAATTTCGAATGGAAACATGACAACAAGCGGATTTTGATCTTTTATCTAGATAGGGCTTATGGTAATCTCACTATGATTAATACGATTACATCTCTAAAGAAAAGTGACTAGACGTGTTTACAGAAAGTGAGATGCACACTGCAATAATTCAAATACAAGTATCACCGCGCTTTATTTTACATAAATACAGTTTACTCTAAAAACAAGCAGTAGATCGAATAGCGTCATTGAGCGATTACCAAATTAATGACGGAACAAATAAAAATCATATTTACAGGATTTCTAGTCCAATAGTTAACGCATTCCAGCTCTAGCTTTCTTCTTTCTTGATAAGTTTTTCAGTAAGCTCGGTGTGACTCGTTTAACATCTCCATACCTTCCGGAATACGAAGAGGAATACAATTGGTTTTTTCGAAAACTGTCACATCTTTGACGAGCTGTGTTTTCAATATTTGCGCTATCCAGCATTCGAACATGAATCCCATTCAACCTGTTTATTTTTTTCCATGACTTGTGATTTCGTGTTTCAAAATCAAATCCCTTGGATTTCAAAGTATTAATTGTAAAAGAATCAATATTGTCAAAAAGTATTGTCTTTGATTTATTCTTGTCATGCTCTTCACTGCCATCATACCCTTCATCGGACTCTGAAATGAATAAGTGAATTTTATGAAGAGCGTAACTACCAGCATAAATAATACCATATACATCCTATTAGCTGCGTGAGGCTTAGTAATAAAGCTGGATTATAGGTTGACCAGACTTCAGGTTTATTTGTTTCAAGTGGTATGAACTTAATAGAATTGTCGTATTGTGATCGACGCTTATTCTAATCAGCTACAGGGTGTCCTATACAGACACTTAACGGTATTCTTAATGACCTTGGCCAAACTGATAAAGACAAGTGTGAGGCAAAAAGCTAAAGCAAAAGAGGAACCAGATGCACATTAAAAGCCTTTGAAAACGTCAATCACGTTGTAGTATTGTATACCTCACTATTACAGTCTTAGCGAAAATAGGTCGCTAATAATAGGAACAGTTCGCTGAAGATATTACCAAATCCGCTGGTGAGTTTGTATGCAAGTTATGAGCAGGAAATTACAATTACTATCCGCGAATTCGGTTTTTGCTCTACAAGTCAGTCAGAAACAAAGTTAACTACTAATTACCACGAATCGAGTAAGCAAATATGAAAATAAACGTATATATTGTGTGAGGATGAACATAGCCTTGATATATTGCACGTCACGGTAATAAGATGATTATAAATCGCTACATTAGGTGAATTGAAATCTAGGAAGAATATATAAACCTTACAAAATACATGCTAGTGAGAGTGTCTTAAGTATTGCCGTAAACACTGCGTCAAATTTACTATTCAGTCGGTAACAACGTACAACTTCGTACGTACCTACATCAGTTCGAGTTGCCACACCACATTAGCACAGAGATGCAGTCGTCGATTCAAATCCCGTAGTGGTAGAGGCAGTAAGAGTTTAAGCAGTAATAGGAAAGATTAGGTTTGAAGATGTTATTTGAAGAGTATAATACAGTGAAATAAATTTGGGAAGAGAAAAAAAAGAGACAAGGAGGAATAAGGAGATCAAAATTTGGGAGAACCTTACGATCAACAGAGCCGAATGCCGCCTTAAGGTCAAGAAATACTACCATTGTTGGGCGTCTGAACGTGTGTCTGTGTTCTAGAACCTGACGTAGCGTGAATATCTGGTCTATACAACCACATCCAGGCCGAAAACCAGCCTGGTTTTCTCTAGTCTGCTCTTCATGAGCTTTGACTAGGCGTCGATGTATTATTGAGGCTAATATTTTAGACACTATATTAGTCAAACTGATTCATCTGTGATTGTCACAAGAGGACTTTTGTCCTTTCTTATAGACTGGCACAATCAGTGATTGAGACAAGTCAGATGGGATTACGTCCAGTTCCCAAATTCTACCTAAGACCTCTGTTAATCTCACTGCTAATACTGAACCACCATCCTTAAAAATCTCAGGAGTAAACCTGTCAGGGCCTGCTGCTTTCCCTCGCTTCAGATGTCCTATGGCTTTTTCAACTTAGTAAAGAGTCGGAGGACCTACATTAACTTGCCATTCAGGTTGACTGGGGATCGTGGGAAACCGAAGTGTGGCTGAAGGCCAGTTGAACTGATCCATAAAGTGTTCTGCCCATCGATCCAATCTCCTGGATTGAGAATGTATAATATGTCCATCTTTCTCTGAGATTGTTTCGCTAACAGTCGGTTTCCCTAACAAGTATGAACAATTGTCTGCTATTACCTAATGCCGCTGCCTTTTCCACCTCTCTTGCTTTCGCTACCCACCACTGTTCACGATCATTGCGTAGACTTTTTGTCAGCTTGCGCTTAAGCTGACTCCGCTCCTCATTATGTTCAGAGCCAGGTGGAATGAGTTTCCGAGCATCTATCAGTGCGATAGATGCTGCTGAGATCCAGTGTTGCTCCCTAACCTTCTGATTTACCTTACTAGCAGATATCACTGCTGTTTCAACAGCTTTTCAGATATCATTCCATGCTGCCTCGGGGTGGGCATCACATACATGGCTGCCTAACTGTTTTCCTAGTTGTTCCTGGAATACACTCTTAGCTTGACTATCATTAGGTAGGGCCCTAAGAGGTTTACTTGCAGCGTCTTTCCTACGTCCAGTAAGATGCAGACAGATACGCGCTCGTACTAGAGCATAATCTGAATCTAAGCATGTGCTCCAGAATGAGCAAAAGTCTCCTATCGAGCCCCTCCATCGGTGGCTGATAGCGACGTGATCTATTTGGGTCCAACGTTGAGACGAATTAGGGGGTCTCCATGTTAAAAGATGTTTTTCCTTATGCTTAAAGTTAGTATTTGCAAAGAACAGGCGGTTATCTGAGCATAGCTGCAACAGACGGTCGCCATTATCTGTTCTTTGAGCCACAATGCAGTAAGATCCACCCAGGTGTCTCTCCCTATCGCTTAGTTTACCTACTTGAGCATGAAAGTCACCGGCCATTATTACTACATCCGAGTGCCTAGCTTTCGGAGAAGGTCAAAGAGCTTTCTGTAAAATTCATCTTTTACATCATCTGCGCTGCAGCCAGTGGGAGAGTAGGCAGAGACGACGAGTGTCCCTATCTTTTCGGATCCTTACTGTTCCGTTTAGTCGGACAGCGCACAAACGACCGACCGTTGTTGCTAACTTGACGTGGTGGTCGGGCTTGCCCATCGTGATGAAGCAACCGAGCTATACTGACTGGAACAACTGTTCCTCAAGGTCCTATCACGTCAGAAAGGTCGGTTGAAGGGCGGTAAGACTAAAAGCAACAAACCCAAGGTCCGAAGGCGAAGTCGTACTGCTGACTGTACAGAGGTGTGACAGCAGTAAGGTGTTTCCTTCAGACAACCAGCATCTGTAGCGATGCTGCCTTCCCACAAGGAGGGGTGGGGTTAAAAAAGGTCGACCCTAAAAAT